TAGCACAATCCATTAACTGTGTTATTTTTCCATTTTTCTTTTTTTTTTAAAGGTGATAACCTGTTAGACACTTCAGCACAAAAGTGGGATGATAAAAGCGTAGGGCGCCAGAAAGCTGCGGCTCCCATTAGACACGTATGTTTCGGCATCCAATCATGTAAACTCTTCTTTTTAGGTTCCCTTAAATCTTCTTTTCTTTTTTTCTTTTGTTTTTGAATTCTGAGCTTTCGTAATTTACTTTTTTTCATTAATTTTTTATAGTACTAGTTTGTCCTCCTCTATTTTTTTTTATTTTCTTTTTTTTTTCTCTTTTCTCTCTTTTTGTTTGGGATTTGTGCCTGCTTTTTTTAACCATTTATTTAAAATAATGCATTTCCCAAGTCCGACTTTTTAAAAAGTTCAAACAGTGCTATTTTTTATTTTTTTAGTTTTCCAAAAACAATTCCAAACCATGTTAAAAAAAAAAACACCCAAGGTCCATAGCACATTTCTTGATTTTGTGTAACAATATCAATATAATGATTGAGTAAAATAAATTAAAAAATTAATTAAATTAACAAAATAAAAAACATCAAATCTAAAAAAACCTATTAAACCAATTAAAATTTTAAAAAAATTGATTAATCTAGTTTGATTTTAATTTTATAAATTCGAAACTGAAAAAACTTAACCAAATCAAATCCAAACATAAAAAATTAAAAAAAACCAAATTAAATCTAGAAATCTAATAAAAAAACTAAGCCAAATTGATTGAAACAGGTTTTTATCTTAGAAAAATAAATAAAAATAAATTTGATTTTTTTAAATTCAATTAATTATTTTTTTAATAAAAATAAAATCAAACAACAAAATATCAACCCCATACTATAAATTTAATATCTTCGCAGGGACAAAGATGCTTCTTCACGACTTATATATTTTTTTTTTTTCAATTTATGGACTATCAGAAGCGTACGTCGATACTCTTAGGTATTGGAGAACGATTACAAATGTTGGCAATGGCTGATTAGAAATAAAATTAACTTAATAAATGTTTAACTATTCCAATAACACTCTTGCAAAACAAGAGAAAGATCGTAAACACATTCAATAATATTTTCTATGCAATGCAATATGTTTAAAGTTTTAAGTTTAATTCCTTCGTATCATTGTAACTGTTGTAAAAAAAAAAAAAAGGGCTCAAATGGCTGTTTCAGCTGTATTCTGTCTGTTCAACTTTAACTCTCGTCTCCAAAAAATTTCCTTCCTGCCACTGTGGATTTTCATAACTTTTTTTCTTCTCGCCCATTTTTCTTAGCTTTTTTCTCCTTTCTTTTTTTTGATATAGAACTTTTTTACATTCGTGTGCTTTATATTATTTCTTTGTTTTAATAAATATCCAACCTACATTGATTTTAGATTGAATATTGTGTGTGTTTATAGATGAATACAAATTAGTTTTTAGATCTATGTTTTAATGGATATTTTATTTGTGTTTTTTAGTGTTTAATTTTGTTGATATCCTAAAATCCAATATATTTAAGATGAAGTTATTTAGTGTTTAAATAGTATTTAATCACGTGTTCAGATTAATATATATTTTTTTATAACCTAAAAAATATGTGTGATTAGTTATAAAAATTCTAATATTTACAAAATAATCCCTTTAATAGAGTTTAGAGATCCTAGCAAAGTCAATGACTTTTAAGGAGGAAAATTTAATAAATAAAAGAAAGAGTTTTAATTCTAATTGCAAGAATATTTATTCTTATTTTAAGTCTAATAAATGCTTTAAAAATTAAACCATGAATACTAAAAAAATAAAAATTTACTTGGATAATTTGGATGATATTTATAATTCTTGAACTTTTTATTTTGATGAAGTAAAGGAATTGAAAAGTTATTTGCTCTAATGAAATTAATGAGAGATGAAAATATCTTATATACTATTAACAGATGAAACATATTTTTTAATAAATTATTAATATAAAAAATAAAAATATAATAAATATTTTAAAAATATTTTATATATTCATAGATGTAAGGTGATGTTACTGTTCATGTTATAAAAGGTAGAATTTTTAGCGATATAACTTGGAAATGTAATTCCACCCTCCTTTCTTTAAGATTTGTTTCACTGGTAAAAATAATTAGAATGAAAATCTTACAGAAGAGTAATAGAGGAAGAAAAAATTATTCCATCTTGAAAATCGATAAATCTTGAGCTTTTTAGGCTGCTGTTTTATATTTGACAACAAGATCAAAACTTTATATTGCATCTGTCTTGATTACTTCTTTTATTGTTGAGAAAATAAAAATAAAAATAAAAATAAAAATTATTATATATCATGAATTTGAAGGATATAATCAATAGAGAAAAATGAAATTACTTATCCAATTACTAAAGAGTTGATTCTTCTCACCTGATCTATTACTCTCTTAGGAATTTTTATTCCTTCATTCATTTGGTTTGAATATTGTTTACTGTTTAATTTTTTATTTATCAATTATTTTAACTTTTGTTTATTTTCATGTGATTTTCACATGATGTTTAACATATTTATTAATGCAACCCAACAAGAGGATGCGTATCCAAAAGTGTAATAATGTTCAACTACTAAAATACTAGAAAAAAAAATATTCAAAGGATATAAATTAAAAAATATAAAATTTCAAGTAGTATTTGTACACTTGACAAAAAAAAAATACTCAAAATAATCAGTTTTGTCATAGAAAATTCATGTAATGTAAAGTTTGAAGTATATCAAAATCAAATAACAATGTGGACATGATTGTTGTAATCTAATTTTAGCTAATTGGCCTTCTAATTTAATTTTATAGGGTTTAAAATGTAAAATTAAAATATTAAAGATTTATTTCGTGAAAAGTGTGATTTGTCAACTTAGGTGAAAACTAGGGATTACAATATCTTTGTCATTCTATCTATATTTTTAAGATAATTCTTGTTTTCAAGGTAATGATAGTTATCTGCTTTTAAATTTGATTTTTAATTAAATTCAAATTTTAAAAAAGAGAATGAGTTTGAAAAAAACTTTGTTTTTCACAAGCGAAGGGACTTAAACACTATAAATACATATCTCAGTAAACAAATGCAAAAGGAATAATACTAATTTTCCTAGTAATGAGCACCTGCATCAATCTTTGTTCAAGAAGTTGGCAACAACAGTCCAACAATAAGTCATTTCAGCCCCTTCCTTTTACTTTTAATTACCCTCTTCTTGTTGTAAGGGTGTGCGAGTAACTCGTGCACCCTTGCAAAGAAAAATATATCGGCTGAGTTACTGGTTTGAACTAGTAATCGGGCCGGTTTAGCTGGGCTAAATTTAGCCCTAAAAAAAGAAAAAAAAAAAGTGGGTAGGGTCTAGGTTTTAGACCTAACCAACCCAAATTGTGTTTGCTAAGTGTGTGTTTGATAAAATATACCTTTATGCCTTGACTATAATTTTTATATTCATTCTAGTTTGATGTTTGGCTAAATGAGTCGTTTTTTTTATATCAAAAAATTCAAAAAATATCTAGGGGTCTTTGTTGATTTATTTGTGACCCCGTAACACTTTTTTTTTTCTTTGTGCTTGTAATTTTTATAGCTATGTGCTCAATCTATGAACTATTAATGTTAAATGAAAATATGTCGTGCAAGATTTTTTTTATTTCAATTTGAAAAGGGTCAATAAAAATAAAGGATAAACAAGAAAAATAGCATAGAAAATTTTTTCTTTAAATTTATTATTTGCAAAAATATTCACTAACGCCAGAATAAGGAATATTATATTTCTTTGGATTCGTATAATATTTATTAACACTTGAGTTGAAAATATTTGTAGGAATTGTTTACTGACGCTAAAGTCCGAAACATGAAAGAAATGATATAAAAGGAAAAAAAATTCTTAGAAATTTTACATAAAATCAGCAATATAGCCAATTTTAGGTTAGACGTTTAAGGCGTGATAATATTTGTTTTTTATACAAGAAGTTCTGTATCATATAATTTTTGTTAACCAGTTTAGAGTTTAGTAACCATGATATTAGATTATAATTTCTTAAACAACATATTTTTTTTTTTAAAAATAAAATACTATATATTTTTTTCAATCAATAGATAAATTTTCAATCGGTCAGTTCGAAGTCCGGCTTCCTAATTTAAATTCCACACGCATAAAAGAAGAATATCACGGCTAAACAAAGCTTTTCGTATAACTTTTTTCCCTGTTTTTCCCCTCTATATATATGTGATCTGTTTTCAAGGCTAATGTTTCCTTTTATTTTTTCTACTTGGTAAAAGAAAAGGTCACTGTTGTTTTCATCGTTTACACCATTGATACAATTCTAGCTTTTCTAATATTTTTAAATAAATGGCCAAAATAAAAAAGTTTTATATTTATATTTCCAGGATTTAAAAATAAAGCCACAACGGGCAACGATATAAAAAATAACAATCCTAATTCTTGATTATTTGTTTTTACAGAAACCATGTGCTGACCTGAACGAAGTTGCCCACTTTTCTTAAAAATTATTATTTATCAAATTCTGATAGATTTTTAGAATCCCTATTGAGGTGATAGCTTCTTGTGAGAAACAAAGCACACTTTCTTTCTTTCTTGGTACGTAAGTGTCAGTGATGAAAGTAAAGAGGTGTTCGGCGTTGATTCTATTTTAAGATGTTTTTTTTTTAATATTTTTATTTAAAAAAATTAAATTAATGTATTTTTTAGTATTTTCTAATAATTTTAAAAATTATTTTAAAAAAAAGAGAAGAAAAGGTGGAAGCATCCTCCCGTCCAGACAAACGCGGCTATACAACAATCCAAATCTTGGCCATTTGTGTGAGACAAACAAACAGCTTGAATTTGGCCAGCCAACTTAGTAATCAACAGATGCTTTACATTTCACTAATTATGATTTTGCGATTAGAGAAGATAAAGAGCATATAGATAAAAGTTAAAAAAAAAAAAAAAAAGGAGCTAGAATTAGAGAAGATAAAGAGCACATAGATAAAAGTTAAAAAAAAAAAAAACAAGGAGCTATGATTATTCTCTCCATTACAGGAGGAGCTCTTTTCTCCATGGATTCCAAGACCTTCTCCTTTCCTTCTTACAGTAGAGATATGGACTTCCAATTACGACCTAATCATTTCCCGCGCAGCTTATGCGACAAATTATACAATTTAGGCGTCACCTTACACCCCATAAGCCCATGTCTGAGACTACTCTCTCTCTCTCTCTCTCTCTTGCTTCCTTTTCTTCGTTCCCTTTTTTTACCATTCTAGTCCCCATAACATCTCTGTTTCTTTACCCTCTCGTATTCTTCATGGACTGATTCTTGTCCAGTTTTTCACCTTTGGCACTTTGGAGACCCAAATAAGCATTAAAACTACATAGATATTCCACTTGCATTTTACAAAATCCTTGGAGCTTATAGCTTAACTTACTCCTCTCTCTAGAGATACGACCCACTATTTTGACTGCTTCCTTATTTTCAGTTTTTTTTCCTGCTTGTCTCCTAATTCCATTGATCAGAACAGTACCAGTGAAGAGTTGGAGGTTGCTCGTCTGAGAAGAAATTGCAAGCCTCTTCACTGTTAAAGAAATTGTGCTCTTCCAACTTCACATACTGAGTTTGATAAGTCTTGGAGAACTGAAAGCAATTCATTGTTGATGGTGAAGAAGATGAGTTGGAGCAGTTGAATTTGAGAGATGAGGATGGGGGTGGGGACATCATTAGCTGGCTTTGGAGAATCCCAGATGAAGATATGGCAGGGTTAGGACTGTTGTCTTCGTTCAAGATTGCACTCGAGTCACTATCCGATAACCCATCTTTTAAGTCTGGGAAAAGAGAGGCTCCGAGTCCGTTATTAATACTGCTGCTGCTGTTGAAGTTCTCATAATTCAGCTCTTTAGCTTCTGCTGATGCAGTAAGAGAATCAAGGAGTGGTGGCGTGTCTTCTTCAGTGACTTTGCCTTCTGATTCAGCCAAAATTATCTCTTCCTTGACAGAAACATTGCTCTCTGTGTTCTCCTCATTCAGCTTTGCTTTCAGTTCCCTTATCTGCAACATGAACAAAACACCACCAGGGTAAACCAAGAATTCTGCAGTTTTTTGCTTCTAAAAACTAATTGTGTGCACCTTTGGTTTTCAGAATTAATAAATATGAACTATTTCTTTCGAGACTAAACTCACAAAAACAACACAAAGATTCAGCCCATTGTTGCTCAGGTTCAAACAAATAAATAAAGATGATGAAAATTAAAATATATACCTCTTTGAGTAGAGCTTCATTGTCCTGTTGGATGGCATCGAAATTGTGCTTAAGAGAATCATAATTGGCTTTAAGAACGCCATAATCTCTCTCCAATTGCTTGGTTTTCCACCGGGCACGGCGATTTTGGAACCAAACAGCTACTTGTCTCGGTTGCAAGCCAAGTTCTTGGGCTAACTTAACTTTTCTCTCAGGTTCAAGTTTGTTTTCGACCTCAAAGTTTTTCTCCAAGGCCTTGACTTGATCTCCACTTAATCGCCTTTTCTTCTCGGTAACATGGCCTCCGGCTTCTTCCACACAACCCTCTTCATCTAAGCCATCCAACATGGACTGGAATTCCCTGCTATAAACATGGGTGCTGTTTCTTGGACTGTGTTCTTCTACAAAACAATCAAAGGAATATAAAGATAAAATTGGTGGATATGAATAGTAACTTTATGCTTGAGAGAATAAATTTGAAAAAAGAGTGTGTGAAGCATGACAAGTCCTCAAAAGAAAAACTAAGCTAGTTCATATGGGTTCAAAGGCTACTGCAAAACTTTGATAGGTTAGTCGCTATTGTCATGAAAGAATGAAAAAGAAAGCTAATAAAAAGCATGACACATGGGCATGTCTGAATTTTTGGAAGGAAGATGATAATTAAGTTGATGGGGTTATATTTAAGAACCTGTAGTTGGACAGATGGACATCAAAGCACCAAGGGAATCTGAGCTGCCAAGTGATCTCTTCATGACTGATGATGATGATATGGTGGAACAGAAGGGAAAAAAGCTTTTTCCTAAAAAACACAGATCTCTGTTTAAGATCAAGAAGTCAGTCCTCTTCTTCTTCTCTTTTTTTATTTGAGGTCTTTCTAGCTTTAAGATCTTTCTTTCTCTTTTGCCTAAGAACTCAAGAGATCAGTGAGTGCACTTGCAAAGCACAAGATTTATTTATTTTTCACTTGTAAGAATTTTCATGTATATAGCTAGACCAACTTGTACAGTCTAGCTGTATACAACAGTACCCCTCCACCCCTCTATTGTCTCTCCCATCTTTCTCCCTTTTCAACACTACAACTCCATCCTCCCCCTCTGTACCCATCCAAGGAAACAACAACAGAAGAAGAAAGAAGAAAGAAAACCCAACAAGCAAAGCTAGCTAGACTAGCAGCCCAAAACAAGTGAAGTTATCAATCAAGAAACCTCTTATGTTTGCATTAACCAACCAAATTAACAAGCAGAATACTAAACAATGAATTCTCTATACAATAGTCTAACTCTGTTCGTCGAGAAAGGGAGAGAGAGAGAGAGAAAACGAGAGAGAGAAGGAAGACAAAACCAGTTCAGAACCTAGCTGGCCTCTCACAAAATTTCTGTCTATAAATAAACCAACTCGGGTTAAGCACCCTTGCAGTTAATTTGGGCCAAATGAAATGAACCCAAATTCAGTCTAAATGAAATTCTTGGTCTACCGGCTACAACCGGTTTTTGTCTTTTTAACAGTGCTACATCTTTTTTATTTGGGGAGGGAGTTAACGTTGAAGGATGAACGCGCTGTACGGCTTGGCTTGAGCTGATGATACCTGGTTTTGCGCCAGCGTGTTAACCGTATACCACGGCGTGGTCGGTGCGATTAATCGTCTATTTCAAAAACTTTGCTGGCTGGTTTAACTAAAATAACTTCTTCTTCTTGTTTTTTTTTTTTTCTTCCAGATTTAGGTGTTTCTATGGATCAAAGAAAAGGGATGTATCTTTAGTTGAAGCCTAAACGAGTGTTTGTTTAGTGTTTTTGAGTTATGAAATATAACTTTTATTTTCACTCATAACTTAAGTTGTTTAAAAAAATTATAATAAAAACATTGAAGGTTTAGAGATAATATAAGTTAGAGAAAAATAAGTTGAAGTTTTAGAGCTTTAATTTTTAATTAAAGCGGACCTTAATTTAAATTTAATAGTTTAATAGCATGTATTTATATATATATGGTTAAAAAATAATATAAATTATATATTTATATTTCATTTAATAATTTAAATTATTGAGTTGAGATGATTTTTTAAGATAATATCAGAGTTTTAATGATCAAACCGTCACGAGTTTGAGTATCACCATCCCTATTTATTTGATAAAAAAAACAAATTTCATCATCCCTATTTATTTAATAAAAAAAAATCAAATATAAAATAATGTAAACCTATATAAGTTTTAAGTCTAAATTGCTTTACCTGTGAGGAATAAACCTCCGTATTTAGTATTGTATTTTAAATAATATTAGGTAATTTTTTTTAAGAAATAAATTAAATTTTTTATATTTTACTATTTTAATAATATATTGATATTAAAAACAATTTTTTGAAAAATAAAAATATTATTTTAATATATTTTTAAATAATAATATTTTAAAAAAATCACTTATATATTTTTAAATTACATCTAAAATTAAGGGCTAAGCAGTAAAATTAAGGAAGACGAAATTGAAGCAGCAGCCATTGTTTTGGGATTGGAAACTCGCCTGAAAATTTTCCATTACAACTTATGTGCAAGTCACTGTTTCCTTCAAAAATCATATGAAATTCGCAGACCGCATGGGTTTAACTTTCCTGTTAGTTTTTCTTTTTTTCTTTTGTAATTTCTTAAAGGATCTTTTGCACAAAAGTTAGCTAAAGGAATTATTAATTTTTTCTTGAAGAAAATAAAGTGTCAATCGATGGAAAAAAAACCATAAAAACTTTATATTAAAATAACTTATAACACAAAAGGCGTCCATATAAAAGTGCCCTTTATTTCATGTTATACAGATGTTTATATAAGATTTATATGTGAGATTTATCGATTTTCTTGTTTTGTAAAAAAAAATTATATATTCTACAACAATAATTATAGTCATTACCTTATCACTATAATTGTTGTATAATTATAGTCATTACCTTATCACTATAACACATAAATATCATTGTAATATAGTTGTATTTTCCACATTATTATTTACTAAATATCATAAATATTTTCATGGAAATTTTTTTGCTGGAAAATATTTTACATGCAATTTTTTTATTTATAAAATACTTTATACAAACTAAACATTTTATTTATTTATTGAGTGTCTTTCATGAAGTGTGGTAGAAATGATTTTTTAAAATGATTTTTATTTGGAAATGTATCAAAATGATATATTTTTTATTTTTGAAATTAACATATTGAAATGATTTTAAAAAACAAAAATATTAATTTAAAATTAAAATTAAAAATTAAAAATTTTCAAAAGCGTGAATCTAAATTGAGGTTACTATTTTAAAAGCGTGAATCTAAATTGAGGTTACTATGAGATATTGGATTGGGTTTGAGTTGTCTCATCAAATTGATAATGGACGCTTTATGGAATTTCTGTAATTCTCTTTTATCTTTTGATGTAATATTAAAAGTTTCATTAGTTACAGTGTTACTTTTTGCAAGAGTGATTTTAAACTAACATAGTGCAATATTTATTAAAAAAATTAATATCATGGAAATTTGCACAGCAAAGCTGATATAACGTTTTAAAAGTATTTTAACAAAGAAATCAAAATAGATCAAGTTTTTACTATGTTGTCAATGTTCATTTTCTTACCTTTTACTACTCATAACAATGTTTGGTGGACTGACATTCCAAGTCCTTTGAATTTCAAGTCGTTTTCAATTTAATCACTAAACTTTATTGTCTTTCAATTTGATTTTATGTTGTCATTGTCCTGTATTTTTTTTTCCTTGAATTTTATATGCTATTACATGTCTGAGTTGTTGAAGATTGTTCCAACATTAATTAATAGGTTAATTTTACAAGATATAATTTTTAGTTATTGTAAAAGAAATTAAAAAAAAGGACCAAAAGTAACAACTTTTTCCCTATATCTACTGTTCAAGATGAGTGTAGAACTATACTTTAGTCTGTTATTTTTCAATATTTTTATATTTTTTCCCTATTAATTTAAATTTTACTTTTTAATCCTAAATTTTATTTTTATGCTCTAGTTCCTAGAGATTGAGAAGGAAAAAAGAAATTCACCAAAAAATTTAAGAAGAAAAAGCTCTGGAGTGGGTGGGTTCTAGCCACAATAATTTCAATTTTGATGCTTTTGGATTCGGCTTTAAGAGTGGAACTCAATGAAAGTAGTTTTCATGTTCAATGATGCTATAAAAAAGTATGTCAAAGTTCGAAAAGATTTCTTTAATTTAATATTAAATTTTTACACCAATTAAAATTTATTTTGTTATTATAAATGGGATTTTAGAAGTTCATATGAAATTATTTGTCATTTATTATTTATTTTTAAAAAGGGAATACAAGCATATTTGCTTTAAGGAAAAAAAAGTAGCCACACCTGGGTTTTTAATTATGGCACACGCGCGGGCACATTCTTCCGTCTCAAACGTACTTAATCTTTATTATTGTTATTATTATTTTATTATTGTTGTTATGTTTTGTTTTTTCTTGTTTTATAATATTTTTAAAATAAATTCATTAAAATTATATTTAAATAAATATCCTATTATGTCAATGTTTTTAAATAATATTAATAATTATTTCATAAATAATTATATATGAGCCTATTATGCATAATTTTCTAAGATATTTACTTATGAATACTCAATACGTATGAAATATCTATTTAATTATTTATTTATTGTAATGGATATAAATATTTATATATTAAACTTAGTGTGTGTGTCTGTGTGTATTTTGCTCTTTATGGGAAGATCAACTTCCTGCTCTAATTTTTAATTTGAATCAATAACTATTTTACATAGTTTATTAATTCATGTATCTTTCGATTTATTTTATTAAACAGATACATCAACTCTATATAATTTTTATTTGTGAGATATGTAAAATCGTATTCTTCCCCTCTCAAGTGTATTACATGATAGGCAATGTAGAATTTTAGATGGTGGCTCTTACAGTTCAAGAAATTATGGCTCCCATCCTGTCTAAAGGTGCCCTTTGTCCCGAATACAATATAGTTTCCACGCCAGGATAAGGTTGGATCTGATTGATCTACGTAACACCCCAAGCCTTAAGATAGCCATGGTTTACAATTAAATTACTTTTGAAATACTAAATTGATAATTTGTTTGACAGAGTAGTCATATAGTTTAAAAATATTTTAAAATATATTAAAATAATTATTTTATTTTTTAAAGTGTTTTTGTATTTTAAAATATATTAAAATAATTATTTTTTAAATTTTTTAAAGTTATTTTTGATATCAAAACAATTAAAAAACATTAAAAAAATTAATTTAAATTGAAAAATAATCAAAATTTTGACAGCCCCTGTTTAGAATGCAATAGTCTTTTGTCCTTGCAACACAAAAGGAATATTTCTTTGTTTCATGTAGCTCCATTAATTTTTATATTTTAATCTTATTCAACCTGAACATAATTAATCTTCAAATATGGGATGAGGGAAGTTATAGTTTTTCCACTCAAATAAAAGTGGAATCTACAATTATTATTATGCATAGGTATTGCATTTATGTGACTGGTGAAACAATGCACTGAGAATACCTCATAATCTTTTGGTTTATTATTCCTAACAAGTGAAAGTAGTTTTGCATCGCTACTAATTAGAATGAACTATAATTTTAGTTTTGATTTTCAAGCTGTGTATAATGTTTAAGTAATTATACCTTTGAAAATAAGGCAACTTTTTACCTCCACCTTTGCTGCCATCATACGACACTGAAATCTCTCTTGATGGAAGTAAATTTAGGTTCACCACAAAATATATACCCAGATTCTTGGCAGACCAGTTTAGGATTTTGTACACTCACGGCTAAATTACACTTGTGATTGTTATTTTCTAGATTGCTAATTTCTTCATCAATTATGTATTAAAGCAGCTACTGATTTTTTTGGTGCTCGTCGATAAAGCAAAATTTGTCAAATTGTTATTATAGCCGTCGATCGTCTTCATCAAAAGACATTACTTTTTTATGTCTCTCGATTAGGTTGCTAGCTTACACAGCTTGTACTACATCTTGTTGCATGCATGGCCACACACAGAAGTTTGTCTAGTGATCCTTTACAAATCATGAAGCTAGCGAGCACCGAAGGTGGGCAGCTGCTGAATAATGCAGATCTTTGCTAGGAATCACTTTTTTATGTCTCCCCATGAGGTTGCCAGCTAACAGAGCATGTACTCCATCTTGTTGCATGTACAGCTTCTTTTCACTCTTGTGATTTGGTTTTTACAAAAAGATGAAACATGCATATAAATTAACGTGTAAAAGAAGAATCAATTTACAATACTTGATAAAAAAAAATAGAAAATTGAGAAAAAGGTTAATCATTTGGCTTTAGAAATAATTTATTGATTGTTAT